ACACACACACACACATACCAAATAAATAAACATCTGATCTTTTTAAAAGCCAAATTACGTCTTGATGTGTACCATCCCAAAACAAAGCATATAGTTTTGCATTTTTATTATTATTATACATAAATAATAATAAATTTGCAATTTATTATTAAAGTGTATTTGGTTATATTGCTTTCTTGATGAGAACATAAACTTATTATAATAGAAATACATCTATAAGTTGCCATAAAAATCTGAAATTTTTAAATTACATTTGCCACTTTCTTACTTTTCCAGAAAAAGAAAATAAATCCTATGCTTGGGCTTCATAGTCAAGTGGTCAGTGAACATGTCCAGGAAGAAGATGAAGAATCAAACAGTTTCACCGTTTTTATTCCTCCACATAGCCAGTCTCTGATTAGGAGAGACACTTCTGGTACTTTTTAATGTTTTGCAGGCAACAAAAAGCTCAAACTGGCTTCAAATGTTTTGGCTCAGGTCGCCAGGGACAACCACATAAGAAGAATCTTTCTAGGGAGGACGCCGACTCACAGGTCCGGGAGGAGGGGCAGAGTTTGGATGAGCTGACCACACACCTTGATCCGTCTGTGCCTGAAGGAAACACATGATTGTGTAAGCAATAAATCAGAAGGCTTTTTAGTGTGTTGTATAATGTGCTGTTTGCTTAGACAAGCTAGATGTTAGCTTCTATTGTTTACAGCTAAAAGAACCCCAGCCAGCAACAGGCTGAAGTATTTCTGCTTGGCTTAGAGGCCAGAAGGAGGCATGGAAAAACAAGACTTTGAACCAAAGAAAGACAAAATCAAATTTTCCCATTAAGAGCACCAGTGTTCTTGGTTTTGTTGGTCCACTAATAGGCACCATCCCCTACATTAGTGGGTTCCAGCAGAAACACTTGAGAAACACTTGAGAAACAGCAGGAATGAAAGATCTCTCTTGTGAGGTTTGTATTCTAGGAGTGGAAACAGACAACAGGGCTGAGGAGGTGGCCAGTGGGTAGGAGTGCTTGCCGAACAAGCGTACAGATGGGAGTTCAAATTCGTAAAATCTACATAAAACAAAAGGCCAGGCATTGCCATGAGGGTGCCTGCAACTGGGGGCTGGCTGTGGGAGGCGGAGACAAGAGGACCCCTGGGGATTACTTACCCATTAGCCCAACTTCAGACTCAGTGAAGAGATACGCCTCAAGAGGAAAGGCAGACAGTGATGGAACAGCACACGTGACATCCTCCTCTGGCCTCTATGCCTGTGTGAAGACATGAATACACACATATATGCATAGTCATACACCACACACACACACACACACACACACACACACACACACACA